ATATATCTTATTAACCAAGCGCGAGGGCCGTACTGGGAGAATATCGGCCCGAGGTCTTGACAGTACGGACCGAGCGCAGCGAGGTCCGTACAAAAAAGACCGAGGGCCGATATTCTTCCAGTACGGTCCCGAGCAAGCTTGGTTAATAAGAGATTTATTATACGACTGAAGTTGAAAGGGACACAAGTGCGGTATCATTCGGGACCATTCGAGACAGTGCCCGGTCCAATACTGAGAGAATATTGACCGGCAATAGAGTATTTTGATTGGTTGATTTTAGTTATTGGCCCTCTGACTGCCCGAGTCGTCTAATAAGGAGGACAATACAACGCAACGGACGGGTTTCAACAGGCTGGGTGCAGTGGAGAAATCCAAAGCGTGGACAAAATTGGCTTCTGGTGTGACTATGGCGACGGTGATGGATCAGTGATGATGATTGGTGGTGGGGTAGTTAGCTGCTCACGTGCCAGATCACGGGATTGGAATAACTGAAGCGAACGCTGCTTCCTTTTCTCCCGGCCAGTGGTGCAATTTGACTTTGGTTATGATTCTAACGGCGGCAGTTCCCCGTCTACGTCGTACTCTTTGAATGTATGGATACGCTGAAATGGATAAAAAAGATTCTTGAAACTATTCTGAACTGACAATCATGATGTACATTCAAGTAATACTGCTGGGGTTCGTTTCTCCATGAGACGTATTTTAAATATTTGACTCTTTTGCTGTATGTATTTACAAGTCGACGAAACAGAAGCAATCTATGTACTGTAAGTGAAACGTCAAAGCTACAGGCTTATAAACTGCCTTTTTGTGGAAAATAAGCCTTAAGGTCGTCGGCAGTTTTGGTAGCACTTCACCCATTGATCACACCCTGCGTTCTCGCTTGTTTAGGAGAAGTCAGAGAGTGACAGAGTCGCGAGAAGAATGAAGAGGAAAACTAAGAGACAAACAGGACAAAAGTAATAATATCTTTTTGAATTACATATAAGTGGAAGACAGCTAAACCATTCTGGCACGATTAGACAAAATAGGTCCAAAGATACATCGAAACCATTCATCATCTGAGATTTACCAACATAAAAAAAACCCTGCTCAAAAATAAATTGGCAACTATAAATTGAATAGTGCTGTTCTGAACGAAAATAATTTAAATAATCACATTCTTACGCAATTATTCATGTCAATTTTAAAATCTGCATATAACCACATTTTATAATCTTATTTTGCGCTGTACAAAGGCTTATATACTATTTTAATTAGTATTAATATCGTTACAGCTATTGCTATTAGCTCTTTCAATAAAGTCCTACTTGCTCACTTACTTACTTACAAGGAGTCAACGATAATTTATTCCCGATTATTACTTCAAATCAAAGCGAAAAATTGCGGCAGTTGTGAGGCGATGGTCTCCCATAAGCAAAGGCAGCCAAAAGGGAATCTACAGACTCTCCTTGTAAGAGAAAAAGGTTTGTACAAAGCAAAATCAGAAAAAAAAAGCCACAAGTTAAAGTTGATAAAATGAATCATTTTGAAGAAGGTTAGTCTTTACACTTCATACATATTCACCTCCGAGATTTGCGGAAGAAGACATAAGTTTTTGATAGGACTTGATTTACACAAGAAGGAACTTTGAAGAGTGGGAAAAAAATTCATTTGAGTTTTTTTGTGTGCCCAAAAACGCGGGGGCTTTTGTGTATCTTGAAAATATATTAAGTAATCATGAGAACCATTTGAAAAAAAGTTTTTGCCATTTGTAAACTTAATAAGGAATAAGTGTTACCATTTGCAAACAAAAGACGTTTGTCAAAAAAAAATAAGCTTTTGTAATGTTAATCCCTCTACATAAAACGGTGCTATGTTTACAACGCTCTCCTTTCAAATGAAGATATTACCTAAGTTTTATGCTAATTACGGCTCATTATTAACAGACAGAATAGGAGATACCGTGTCACACTTTTCGTTGAGTCGACAGAAACGAATGACATGGACCTGAGACCTCTGTTAGCGATCGTATTCCTGCTCATTTTCCCTTGCACTGATTCGTTTGTCTTGAAGAAAGAAAATGGAGACAAAGGTAAGTTTGCAACGGTAAATTACTCTTATAGGTAACTGGACGACCTGTGCGTAAGTGGCCTGGATCTCTTGATCGTATTAAAGTTTGTTTTGCAGTGGTATACTTTTATTCTCGCAATTACGCGGTTTGCATTCAGTACTTGCGTAATGCATCTTAATCAAGGACGGGGAATGTTCTTGTCTACAAGCATGTTGCTGAAAAATAAAAAATGACTAACAACTTGCCATCTCAGAGACCGAGACAAGCCATGCAAAGTTAGTCGTTTCAAAAGGATCACCTCGCTAAGCAATGCATGGTGAAAATAATCGCAAATTTAGCAGGGTATTTCCCAGGGTTTTTGAGTATCGCAAAGAGGTACACAATCAGATGTTCTTAATATAATTGACATTCATTTCATTGTACATTTTAGCTAGGCACTTCCATGCTAAATTGATTTGTTTGGCAAGTTTCTAATGCAGATGATGTTGATAAATTGAAATATCACTTAGTCTTACTTGACAACGTCAGGATATGTTGACAAAAGCAAAAGCAAACAAGCGAAACTATTTTATAACAAATCTCGTAAATTTTGCATGCGGCGTGGCAATGAAACACTGTTACCATGTAAACTTATCACTTTATGGATTAAAAGAAAATAATGAAGTCAGTATATAAGAAATGCTTATCTTAACAATAAAAATCATGTATCAATGGCATTAAACATTCTGATCAATGGTAGATCCGTTGAAGCAGGATGATAAACCTGTGGAAGAAGATATCAGTGACATCGCGAACAGAGGTACAACAGGAATAATTCTCTAATAACCTTCAGTTTATTTTATTATTTTATTTTTTTTTATTTTTTAACATTACAAGTGCGTGCATATTCATAAGCAAATAGCTCTGTACTTTTGTTTGTTGTTACACATCTTAATTTACCCGATATCTAATTGATCTGGATCTGTTTGGGACTTGAAATAGCTTTCCAGTGTTATAATAGAAATATGTTATAATAGAAATATTTCTCGGTGAATGCAGTATAACCGATACGGAACTACGGCGAAAAAGTACCTAACGCTCCATAATGCTCCTCTGTACTGCGGAGTTGAGATATAGACTTCGACTACTTGTTCCTGCTAGGAACATTTCAATGTAAATCTCCTGCCGTCTGTCACTTCCCCGTTTGTACAGAGTCATAGACCTAAGTTCTACATTTGATTTTTATGCTTTAATTAAGTCGTTGCTTATGTTTTGCAAGTAGATATTTTGCAGTATTAAAATAGCGTTACCTTTCCATTGGCATTGAGGTGATTTTACAAAAGAGGTATCGCTGGCAGCTGCGTTGTTATTTTTAAGACAGTGCATTTCTATAAATCACAACATCTGGATTTGGATCAGTTAGATGTCGGATGAATTAAGATTTGTTAGAAAATCCGTTTATAAACTGGGGTCAAAGAATTGACACAGTAGACCGTAGGTGATCACAGATTTTCACTCAAGGTGAGAGGAAATGTCAAACAGAAAGCTGATCAAACAATAGACTATCAAAGTGAAGGTTGTCGGAATATGTTTTCCTTTCACTTTCATGATTCTGAATATCAAAGCGAGGGAGGTGGCAAGTGAAAATATAGCTCAGGACATAGCTCGTCACGCCTTTGTCAGTGTTTGACTGAGGATTGTCCATCGCTCGCATGTAACAGAGCTTTCACGATATCACCATCACTCATCCAGCTTTTGGTCACAAAATTTTGAATGTTTAGCCTTGGGATCTCTGCTAATAGCATGATATAAATATTTATGATGAAACTATTGATTGATTACGTCTCTGCCTCTAAGAGTACGAGACAGAGCATGGGCGCATCATCGCCGTGAACATGGCCCACTTAAAAAGACGTGCAGCAAGGATGAAACGAGAGAGTGTCTTCAAGGAAATTGAAATTAACAACGAAGGTACATCACGAAATAACTTAGTCAGGGTACACGTACACGTTCTATGTGATGTTAATCCTCTGTGAAGGTCAAGAAGTACCCAGGATTATCAAAACAAACAAATTTCTGGTGATGAAATGCAATTTCATCCATTCCGAGGGGAGTAGTAATGATCTTGGTCGCTCAAATGCATGGAAACTGGAACGGGCTCTGGCTTGTTGAGTCTTTGGCTCAGTCGGGTGTTGAATGACCATTGACTCATTAAATGTGACAATCAGAAAGCTATTCCGTATATATGTAAGTCTTAGGATCAATTAAATTGAATTCATTTTTGTAAACGATTCTTTTTCTAGAGAAACACCTTAAGCTTTATCAAGGCGACATTCAGCTCGATCCCGAATTGGAAGAAATCCTTCATATTAAGCAGGGAAAGGTCAAGAGGAACGCAATACGAGAGAAAAAGAGGCTTTGGGCTACAAGGAAAATTCCTTATTATGTCCCCAGTGAAATGGGTATGTGCGAGTTATTAAGAGAAAGAGTTTGGTAGCCCAAAATCTTTTTTCGTTACGATTTTTTCCCTCACCGTTCGACCCAAAGCCAACCCTAGTTCATTTGAAAACAAGCTTTTGGTTCCATACAAATTAACTCGGTGCAGAAGTAGCTCGAAACAAATCTTGTCAATGATTTTTTATTTTCCTCAGCCGTTGATAACGTGAAATCATCAACTTCGGGGAATCTTGATGATTCTAAAGTTAAAAGGAATTTAAGTTGAATGAAGTCCAGTTAGAGGTTTTTGAGGACGTTATTTCTACCATGATGAAGAAATGTTTATGAGTTATGTATGATAAAGAAAAATAAATAAGAAAAATATTTAAGAGATGCAGATAACTTTCTACCTTATTTCTTTATTCATCAGGTCACATACTTCCAAATCTTCATAAAGCAATGAAAGAATTTCACGATAATACATGTTTAAGATTTGTTCCATATGACTATAGTCAGCGAAACTACATCAAAATCGGTAATGATGACGGGTAGGTCTACAAGACAACTCGTAAGTAATTTTATCTGCAACTTATGTTGATTGACCACTCCCCTGGGGCTTTTCAGGACCAATTCCCACCCAGTAACCACCCCAGGGGAGGATATCCATCGCACAGTAATCTCGTGCGTGGGAAATTAACGTCTCCTACCCCTAACCCTGCAGGAGAAGGGACCTCCATTTGTTCGTCCCTATCCGAGAAGACTAGAGTATCCAGTCGAGAGCCCCAGATAAGCACACCCCTCGTCACTCTTTGAATATCGTCAAAATAATTGGAGAGATATACCTCAGATCACGAAAAGACAACGAGGGAATAACAATAGCGGATACCTAGATACTGCACTGTAAAGCATGAAATTTAGAAAAGCTATACCATGCGGATAAGCGGCTTCGTTTAAAGACGAAAATGACCAATTCGTTTAATTACTCTAAAGTCTGGAGAAAGGAAAGCAGAAATGTATAGATTATACATATCCTGATCAAATATATGAATGTATGAAAATATATGAACTTCATATATTTCACTGTATCTGATATATCCTGATCACTAAGTAAGTCGCCTTACCCTGTGCTACTGTGGACCATCCCATCAGGTGCTCCAGTATGGTTGGTGCGAGGTACCATTCTAAAGGTGCGCAAGCTCTTTCGCTGGCGAAAGGATGTGAATTTGTGGGAACCATAATACATGAGCTCATGCATGCCATTGGTAAAGTATAAGATAATTTTCTGAGGCATGGTGTATTTTCTCCCTGCCAGTCTCACCTAAACGAGTGTGCCGCATTTTCACTGGCAATCAATCGTTTGAAAATTGTCCCTGGAAGTTTTTTTCATGAAATGTCCTCATCCTAAACCTGATGAAATAATTTGGATATATCAACAAAGTTGAAATGGTAAATTGGCCACCGTAATGATTACAAAAGCTGACGTTTCGAGCGTTAGCCCTTCGTCCCGAGTAACGATCCCAGACAAACTTGCGCGGCGAACTCGACCCACTCTCCCACTCGTTTTTAAAATGAGGAATTCCACTAATTTATTCGTGTTTGTCTCGTTGCCATGTTCCCACCAATAACGTAGCTCGATTTTCTGCCTTTAAAAGCACGCACAACCCACAATTCCTCTATTCGCTCCGACGAAAGGCTAACGCTCGAAACGTCAGCTTTTATAATCGCGAACGGTGGCCAATTTACCACTTCAACTTTGTTGATATATTCAGATAAGTATTTACACTCACAAGAGTAAATAAAAGTTTCCCAAGTATTACGCCCAATGGTGCATTGACTTGACAGTGGTACTTATTACTGCGTAAAGCTGTAAAGGTCACAGAGAAACTGTTTTTCCACTACCCCTGCTAAGCTAACTTATAGCTTGCTGAAAGAATGGCTTCCGTTCGGGAAACTTTTTTTCTCCGTATGAATCCCCCTTTTCTTACCCTTTAAAGCACAGATGTAAGCTTATTGTTACGCTTTTGAACTCGAACTCTTTGTCTTAATGGACTAAAGTATTTACGTTAAGTACACGTATCTTTTTCTTTCAGGCTTTTTTCACGAACAAGCCCGATCAGATAGAGATAAATTTGTGAAGATCTACTGGGAAAATATTCTTCAAGGTACCAAAGAAACAGTTTTCGAAATCAGTCGTCGTAGATGTCAAGTTAAATTATGATAATAAATTCAAGATAAATTATATTCGATATAAATATAGGTATAGATAAAATAGATGTGTGTTGGCTTTTCATTCGTCGTCAAAGAGAGCTGACCAGAAGAGAACCCTTATTCCTTGTTAATTTTGTTAAAAGCCTTGTATCTAATTACGGATCCTCACTTGTTTATACTTTTGGAAGTTGTTTATTTTCTTTTATTTTTGGAAATATCGGGAGTAAAGTAATTGATTCTACAGGCATTTGATACGAGGGACCTGTTCATAGCATACGGGTAAACTCAAAGTTTTGGCGATCTTTCTTTTTTTTTTACTCTTCCATCAGTATTCCGTCTGTCATTCTACCTGTATGCCTGTCCGTCTCTCTGTTCGTGCGTCCGCTGTCCGTTCCTCTCTCTGTCTGCCTATCTGAATGCTTGTCTGCCTGATTTTCAATCATTTTTGGCTCATTTTGAATCTCAGGATTTGATGAGAATTCCTGCTTGCCTCTCCAGGCTTTTCTGATCAATTTGACAAGTATAGTTGGAGAACTATTGACGATCTTGGCAAGGACTACGACTATGAATCGATTATGCATTACGATCGCAGGGCATTTACAAAGAATGGGTCACCAACCATTGTCAGCATCTACGATGAGTCGAAGGAGTTTGGTACCAAGGAAAAAAGACTGAGTCAAAGGGATATCATCGAAATAAATGCTTTGTACGACTGCCACCAGAGTAAGTCTCAGCTAGACGCTCGAGGAGCGTTCACTCGGGCTTCTTTTATAGCCATGGCATTTACACCAAAGACCAGTACAATTATAACATGGCTTGTAAATTCGTACAATCAGATTCAATATGCGCGAGCTTGCTTCAATTTTTCATTGTGCATGCTGGTGACGTCAGCAAACAAATGATTCTCGAAAAAAAGTTTTTCCCGCGAGTGACTTCAGCATTTTTATTAAAAAACGAGAAAAACTTCCGCAAAAAAGGTAAACTAGACATGGCAACAAGCGAACAAGCCGATGAAGATCTGCTGACTTTTTCTTTGGGAATGGATTTTTTAACTCCCGAAAAAGAACCCAGAGAAAGGGAAAACAAAACAATCAACGGTTTCATCTCGTTTCGCAACTCTAACTTCATTTCCACGCATGAATTCACCTGTCACTTCAGCTTTTGACCAATCTGAAACAAGATCATTGAAGCATAGCGAAATACTTTTCCGAAACAAAATAAACAACGCATTGAAGAGTAGGAGAGGGTATTTCTTCCCTTCATACATCCCTTTATACATAAACTACAGCGTTGAAAATGTTATAAAACAATTGGTTTATGTGTCAGCTGCTTTCATCGAGACTTGAAGCTCTTGAGAACTTTGGAGAGCACTCAAGAAGCTATAGATGCTCTCGGCTGCACCTCGAGCAACTCTTGGCCATCTTTCGTGCTCTCCAAACTTCCTACCTGCTTCAAGTCTCGATGAACGCACGCTAATGCATGAACCAATTGTTAATAGTGATTACGTACGAAATACCAAATCGCACTTTACAAGTAGTGAACCCAATAAAAACCAGTAACAGAAACAGGATATTTAACAGAAGAGCTAAGGTTATATATTTAACCTTGCTATTTAAGTTGCTTCTGTCAGCATCCTTATCTGATTCGCTGTTGTCAGCGCCACCTTCGAAGTTGTGTTCACGAACATTCTTGATTTTTTCAGCAAGTGTGGTGTTCGTCTCAGCATCATAGTTTGTTCTTAAGTCGGCCGTCACAGTTTTGCCAGTATTTTCTTAGTTTGAACTCACATATGGCTCGATTGTTATCTTGTGAGAACTAGTATGAACTCTTTCCACATTTGGCTAGCTTTCAAGCAATGAATTTCGTGGACCAGCCCATTCTGAAAACACTCGACATCATTTAGCGTGGGCCTACCACGAACGGCGTTTGTGTTTGCATGTGGGATGAGCTTATAAGACAGGAATCTTTGCAAAGCGGTCTTCACAAAACACAGCATTCTGTAAATTACGTTGTTTACGAAGAACGAGCTCACAATAACACAAGTTGTCGCACTCTCATCCCCAGTTTCCGCGGTCTATGCAAGGAACGCCTGGGACCACGACCCCCCTTTTGGCGACCAAAACGGCTTGCATTTTCAGACTCGGACTTTCCTACGGAAGCCCGAGTAAAAATCATCAAAATTGCTAAACTCAGCTACTCCAAGCTACGAAATCCATTCCAAGATTTTTGACGCATTTTTTTTTAAAGCTTTTTGTTCTAGTTTTCCTGATAAACTGGATAAGATGTAGCGGTTCACTTTTTGAGTCTTTGGCTGGATCAGAGCAAATTCATATTTACATCCCATTTCTCAGGCTATAGTTTGAAAATGTATTAACAAAGAGCCCATTCTCAGAGCTATAAATCCGGGTAAATTTTTGTTTTTGTTTTTT